AAGGGTTGTGATAATTTGCCAATTTTCCCCTATCCGCAGGGATCCCGGCCACGGGTGGGCTGCTTGCAGATCCCGCGTGGAAGTCCATTCTCGGGGAACATTAGCAGAGATTAAAAATGTGCATAAACATATATGAACATTTTGAGCGCAAATTCAGTTATTTTGTACGGACTAAAAATGTATTTACATATATATATAGACTTGACAAATCTATTAATAGCATGAAAAAATAAAAATAAAAAGCATTTCTTAAGGTAGAGAATTAAAAAAGTGTTTAAAATAGTTAATGAATAAAAATTATGTAAAATTTGAAAATTAAAGGACTAAAGTTGACATTTAATCAAAATAAAACGAGTTAGAAAAAATAGCTAAACAAATATATGAGAATAGATATCCCCTTGCTTCTTGGGCATTAGTTATACTATCATAGCACACCCAATATCATGATAGCTTGTCACCAAATAATAGGTAAAACTCTTAAATCCACCTCTTAAATAAGGGGTAGGCACAAATCTACCCCTCAAAAAAATACAAGGAGAAATTGCTCCTTTAAATTATAAATCCTTTAAATTATAAATCAAGATAAAACACCTAATTTCTAACATGTGACTTCAACTTTTTGTTAAAAAATGTTGATGTGGCAAACAGAATCAATTAAAAAATGAGTGATTTGTCTTAATTTATAATTTAAAAGGGTAATTTGTTCCTGTATTTTTTGAGGAGTAGCTCTGTTCATACCTCTTATTTGAGGGGTAGATTTGAGGGTTTTGCCTAAATAATAAACCTTAACTTGAAGTTATTGTGCTCCAAGCCTCTTTTGCAGATAAACTCATGAGTCATTTTTGACATTCGTCTAAAGTTTAAGAGATGAAAGAACCCTCTAACACCTCAACGTTAAAAGGTTCAAAATAAGAACTTATTGATATGCTCACAAAATCCAGTTGCAGCAAGACTTCATCCACCTCTTCACAAAATGAAATTAACCCCCACCATTGGAGGGATGACATTATACTATATAAGGACAACAAGAAAACCCACTTATGGAAGCAACACCATAGAGCGACACAAACCCTCATTATTGGAGGGACGAAGCCACACCAAAATGCGACACAAACCCTCACAAACAAAGGGATGAAGTAGCATGTACAAAAGAATAAATAAAAAGAAATAGGAAACTCCATCGCTGGATGGACAAAGCCATCCATGCAACTAGGGTTTTGTTTCTTCTCTAGCGTAGAATAGTGGTTCTATATTAGGGTTGATATATAAGATCTTTTATTATTATAATAATTATTATTATTATTTTATTTTAAATTGTATAATGAGAAGCAACAATTTCTCATTTTTTAACTTACCCTGCTTACTTGCTTGCTATGTGACTTAAATTCAAGATCTCTTACTTTTACTAAAAAAATTTATTACTAAATTACTTAAATCGTTAATAACATTTTATGTGTTAAAAGAAAATTATCACTAGTACACTCAAGTCATTGGTAGTTTTTTAATTTATTTGTTCATACTCAATTGTTGTAATTTATTTATTTTGATTTATACCATACATAAAAATGGGAAAAAAATCATAGACAGATGAGTTTATGGCATTGAAATCAAAGAAAACATAATTTTATTGTAATAATAATAATAATAATAATAATAATTTTCCCATCAATTAAAGGTCTTGGGTTTTATATATAAAAGAAAATGAGATTTGGTAGAAATAAGGATATAATCTTTTTAGAAAAATTTTAATTAAATATATGACTTTTTTCTTTATTATTAATAGGGCTACTCTCTCTCAAATTCTAATCAAGAACATGATTTTTACAATTTTACTAATCAAGACTATTACTTTTCACGGTTATATCTTTAATTAAAAGTTTTTGTAGAGTACTAGTCTTGATGAGTAAAGAAAAAAGTTAATATTTTTAATTAAAAAATGTTTACAAGTTTGTATCCTTGTTTGTATGAAATCTAAAAAAAAAAAAGAAAAAAAATTGATCTTGAGTTCAAGATCATGTATTGCTACCTCAAAAAAAATAAAATACTAGTTTGCATAAAACATGAACAAAATCTTGTTTTGCAGTTCAGACTGTACTAAATTGCAAAATAGAAACCATTGGATGGGAAGAAGGCTCCAATATCATAGGACTCACTCTCCATCCAACGTTTATAGTTGTGTAGTTCAAATTGCACAATAGTTTTCTAAATATGAATGTTTATATATATTTCATCTCTTTCCAAATATATGTTTGATTTTTGTGTGCAATTATAGGTTATGGCAATACTATAATTATAAAGCCATATAAAATTGTAAACTTATAATCATGATGTGTCATTAAATCAGTAAATATATATAAATTATAAGTAAATCCTTAAGTAAAAAGAATTCACTATATAACAACACATCATGTTGCAATCTTACAATATTATGTGACATTAATAAACTATATCATTTTCATTCTAGGATATGCTTTTATATATTTTATATTAATGATAATTGAAATCTTTTTATCAACAAAAACTACTTAATAGAATTACATATAAAAAAAATCTCAATTATGATTTTTTTATGAAAAATCTCAATTAAGATTCATATACCATAAAAAGTTATTATCTAAAGATACATGGGAAAAAAAAAGTCAAACCACTTGTAGTTTTTCTCTGTTTTGTAGATATTAGATATGGATGAAAAGTAAGAAAATATAAAATTAAAAGTAAAAAATAGTACAATAACAGAGTGAAGAAAATCTAATGGCAATGTAATACACTTCTTTTCCATGCGGTGGATTCAACTATGGCATGTAAATCTACAATATCATATTCATATATCATTACTAACATAACAACTCCTTTCTTTTATGTACGGATCCTTTCCTAAGCACCCTTACCCATAGCAACGATCAATTCTCAACGTCTCTCATTTTTCCCTCTGTAAATCAGTTTTTCAGTTTTAGTCTCCACAAACAAAATAACATGGATACAGCCTAAATATGGGCATTTGGTAATGGTGGACGTTGTCACCTTCATCCCATTTTCTCTTCACCGTTTGTTTTTCCTTTACTACAATAAGACCTTTTCAATTGGGTGTTTGAGCAATCCCTTTTCCCATCCCATTTCGATTTTGCTCCCAAGGAGATGATGGCTTTCCTTCTTCTCCTCCTTCTTCATCATTGATGCTGTCTATCCTGTACAGAATTGTTAATTTATGGCTTCTTCTCAAGTTGATGTTGTTGCCTCTTCACCATTCAGCTGTGTTCTCAGGGAGCAAAGCCGTCGAGAACGATGCCATGACACCAACGTCAGAGCTTCTCAGGCTGCATTCGAGAAGAATCTTAAAGATTTGGTCAGGGATCATCTCCATACATGCATTTCTATCTCCGATCAATATTCTCAAAACCAGAACACTTCCATTGATTCCTGGATCGCCAATGGGCAGAGAAACACCAATTGTCGAATTCCCCACAATCAAAATTGTAGAAGCCAAAGAGATGTTCATGTTGAGTCATCGTCTTCCCAAGCTCGAGAAATACCATCGACCATTGAGAAAAAGGCACAGGAGGTGGAGATATTGGCTTCTGCAAATTCACCCACTACCTCAACATCATCACATTCTAATGCATCCGAGAAAGACTCCCCAACCCAAACAGAGAATGCCCTTGCTCGAGCTTCCTCACTTGTTCAAATATGGGAGGCCAGGCTGAATCGAACAGGGCCTGGTAGCATCCCTAACGGGCAGAACCAATGCCAGACCAGCAGGACAAGTCCCGGGTTGAGCTCCGCTGAGAATTTTTCCCCTGTTGACGAACCCCCTTCACGAAATTCTGAATTATGTGAGCATGGTGATGAAAGGTCGGAAAGCAGGACCAACAATGAGGATAAGGATAATTTGACAGATTGGGAATCACATTTTGATAGGATAGCGCTTAGTGAAGCTCCTTCTTTCTCAAATGGAGAGAAAGAAAGAGTTAGAGTAGCAGATATCATCAAAAGATTGGGGAATAATGTAGGGGATAGCTCGCCAACTAGGGAGCGCAAACATATCCTCAACCCAGAACAAACAGAGCAGAAAGGCTTTTCACAGGTTTCAAGTTCACCCCGGGTTAGAGGGAGACAAGCACTCCATGAATTGCTTGTGTTGATGGAACGGGAAAGGCATAAGGAGCTGGACTCCCTCGTGGAACGTCAACTAGTCTCAAAATTCCCACAGCGTGGCCGCATTCAGGTTACCTTACTTAATTCTTATATAGGATATGGAACTAATTAAGGGATCATAATTGGTTTCTTATCTATGTTTTATGTTTTGTGGGCAGTCAATGCTTCGGTTGAGATGCCTGCAGCGTGGCCTGGCAACTCCGCATTCAACAGGAGCAGAAGAGAATAGAAACCATCCTAAATCTGGAGGAGCTGAAGTGAGCAGGTCACCACCAGGGTCTAACATCATGCAACTAAGGTATGTATCTGACATATTATGTCTTCTCTTCACTTCTATTTGGGATTAAATCATATTGTCATTCAAGATCCATGCATGAGATTATGTTGGTGAAAATGACACATTGTTTTCTTGGAGGCATTTGGAATGTGGTTTACTGTTTCAAGTTTATACAATACCTATGCCTACTGGTTTTTGTCTCTACAATTGTTCAAATTTGCAATGCATCTTCCTATTTTGTTCAACTAGATATCTAGTTATATACTGTTTTCGTTTAATGTGGTAGCATGTTTTATAAGGAATCTCAATTAATTCCAGGGAAAAATTTAGCACAAGCTTAGAGCGTGTTATGACTGTGCCAAGCCACATGGCTTCTGCAAGAATCCATCGCAAAGAAACGGCAAACAGAACCCAACATTCAGATACTCCTTCCACTTCCACTCCACCTAGTGAAGACAGGCATCGGAGTACATTGCTAGGAAAACCACCTCTGCCTCCGTCCGCTGAACACAATCATCCTACTAGACACAGGACTATATCGCCCAAAGATCATTTAGTGTCTCCATTGAATGAACGCAGTCATCTCCAAGAATTGTCCTCTATTGAGCATCAGACTACATTATCAGAAATGCATTCATTGAAAAACAAAATTGAATGTGTTGTTGAGAAAAGGAAGCCACATTCAGATGTTGTGTGCCAGACGACCTGCTTGGAGGCAACAAATCTTGCCCCCCAAAAGACTACAGAGGCATCAACTTCCTTGAATGGTCAGGAAGAGAATCAGATGGTCAAAGAACCAGATGCTCTTAGCCAGCAACATCTTGAGATTGCCTCACAAGCAACTGGAGAAACAGAAACCATAGCATCCACTAATTTTGCAATTGAGAACATTGAGATGGCTGACGAAGAAGATGTTGAGAACCAACAGCATTCCTATCTTGACTCTCAAGAAATTGTGGAGACAGCAATTTCTTACGATGATTGGGATGAGAATGACATGGTAGAAGAAGAGGATACTGATTACCAACAGTATTTTGAAGGTGAAAATTATGACTGGTTTAGTTATATTGCTAAGCCACGGAGTTACTGGGAGAAACTGAGGCAAGCATGGTACCAGGAAGTGTTTAACACCACTTCAGAAGATGAGGAGATACGTCAACTCCTTGAAAGGTATACCAGCTTTTGCTATAATTTCCTCTGCTTTCTGTTATATGTTAACTTTTAATATTTCATGTCTATTCCTAGCTAGAGTTTAATAAAAATTTGTGGACACGTAGGAGAAGAGTGTCAACTTGTCTTGCAAGTGATTTTCGAAACAAAATGGATCAGGTTATGAAGTCTCGTATAGAAATGCAAGTGAGTGAGGGGGAAAGTCAAGAAGATGAACCTAATGAAGAAGAAAGAATGCTTCAACTGATGTCTTTTTTCACGAGACAATTGCATGGAGCAGGCAGTCAAGAAGGTGAGGGAGAAGAGGGAGGTGAGGTTGAAGAAGAAGAAAATAAGCATGAAGAAGATGATGAAGATGGAGAGGAGGAGGAAGAGGAAGAAGAAGACGAAGAAGAAGAAGAAGAAGACGATGAAGAAGAAGAAGGTGGAAGCACAAGTAGTCATCAATCTCATGAAGCCACTGAATATTATGATCAATCCTCACCATCCATACAAATGCCTTCACCATCTCTATTATTGTCATGGAACTATCAAGATGATAATGAAACTGGAGATGATTCTAATAGGATTCCATCCAGATCTTCACCTGTTCACCCACCCTCACAAGCTCAATCTTTTCAAGGCAGTCAACAGTCATCTTCAAATAGGCATTCATTGGTGAGTTTTCTCTAATGTTATTATCTTTTATCTCAGTTCAATAATCACAACTTTCTCTCTAATGATCAACCTTGCTGCTTTGGCAGGAAATGGAACTCATATGTGACTTAAGAGGACGCATGGAGCAACTTTACCGTGAGATGGCTGAACTAAGGAAATCAGTTATAAGCTGCATGGATATGCAGATGAAAATGCAACAGTTCTTCAATCAAGAGATTCATTCAGGTAAGGAGCAGAAATTCAACTCTTATTGATTTATATTTAGTAGTCAATAAATGACTTTGTTAATGAATTAAGTGTTAAATGATTATTACAGTTCAAGGGCAAGTGAAAAATCAACCGGATGGGGCACTACTCTTCAAACGCACTTGTTGTATTTGCTATGAAATGCAAGTGGACTCACTTCTGTACAGGTACCAAAGCCTTTGTTTTGAGTTTGAAACTGCATTTTTCAGTAGAGGCAAAGCTGATGTTGTTAGCTAAAATCTCCTTTGTCTTTCAGATGTGGGCATATGTGCACCTGCCTCAAATGTGCCCATGAATTGCAATGGAGTAGTGGAAAATGCCCAATATGCCGTGCCCCAATAGTGGATGTTGTGCAGGTGTATGTGGATTCATAGAATACCGGTGAACGAGTTCTTGCTCGAGAGGACCAGATCAGTTAACTTCCTGAACCTTTGATTGGAATGTGGAAGATGCATATTTACTTTGTTTTTCTATTTCCTACTAATGTTATCTAGTTTCTGTACATGTCACCCCATTTAACAACTACATGCTTTCTCTTTTACACACACTTTTTTATGTGTTTTCTAGGGAGAAATTACATTTTCACAACCTCTCATACTCTTCTTTCTACTTACAATTTTGAAGGGGATTTTTTTTTTCTTTTTTTTTCTCTTTTCTTTTTTTTTTTTTTTTTCCTTTTAAGATGTGCTGAACGACTTGAATTAAAAAGCAAATGAATCTTTTGTGCAATGACTTACCTCCATATACTCTCTCTAACAGTATCACGTTCCACGCTTGAGATTGATTTTCTTTTTCTTTTTCCTGAAGTTACCTTATTCCTTGTTTGTAAGGAGACTCACGTACTCTCGGATTCAAATCCCTCCACCCCAATATTAAAAACAAAGTCCTTCAAGCCTCAAAGATATAATGACAATGACACATGCAGGGAGGTCAAGAATAAACCTTGTAATAGATATATGAGTTAGAATTTAGAAGTACTCTTAATTTAATTTGCATTCTTCAGTTTCAAACCACCAAAATTCATGAAATGATGGAATACACAGCTAAGGTCCGTTGTATGCTTAACTTATTGCTTATTGGGTCCAAAAATCAATTGAACATAATAACATGAAGTGGACGATTCCTTCTCTAATTAATATTGTCATATTTCTATTTGAACAAATTTTGTTACCTGTCAACCAGAATGCTTACAATTATAGATGCCAACCTCAATGCCCATTTCCTTTTTCCTTTTTAGAGAACAAGGGCACCAAAACAAGTCTTTCCCTTTCAATGTAAATAAACCTTAGTTACTAACAATCTATTGGTCTGAATCGAAGGAATTCAGTTTTTCTTAAATAAAGTATTGAGTTTGAATTTTGTAAATGAAAAAATAAGTACAAAAGAGCTTCCTCTTTATGCGGTCATACAAAAGAGCTTCCTGTTTATGCGGTCAACGCGATTTGATTCCAAATTAGTTAGTATTTAATATGACTTCTAAATACCGAGAGATTAATGTTCAAAAAAAAAAAAAAAAAAAACCCTTAGTTTGGTTTGAGGAAGTTGGAGGGGAAGGAGGAGGAGAGATATATCTTTCTCATGTTTGAATTACTGGTTTTAATAGAGAAAGAGAGAGATGGAGGGAGAGAGGAGGGAGATGTGACTTTTTTTACTCTTATAGTTTCAATTCCTTTAAATTGAAAAAATTTGGAAGGATTAGCTTTATATATTTATTTTTTAAAATTTTTTAAAAAAATTAAATATATAAATATATTTTAATCAACTTTTTATAATTAATAAATTTTAAATATTTTATTTTATTTTTTAAAATTATTTAATTATATAAAAATATTTTTTTATCTCTCCTTTACTTTTATCTATTCAAATAAAATTAATATTAATTATTTCTTCCCCTTCACTTCTCCTCTTTTCCCTTCCTTTTATTAATTTTTACCTAAACAACAGTTAAGATTGATCGTGACTTGTCAGTTCTTGTCAAAGTTTTCAAATCCTGTTTTACTTGTTGTTAACTTGTTATTTGGGAAAACCCGGCTGAGGTCTTGGATTTCTACACATGATCTGGTCATGGAGATTTTAACCACTTCTGTTTCTTTTTCTGAACGAATTCAAGCAAATTAACCTTGGGATTGATTTCCTTTTGTAGATTTCAGTCTGTGAGGATCCTCTGTTTCGAAAACCAACAAAGTGTAAGGGAAAAATGGTCCATTCCATGAGTATATTAGCATTGGAACCGCATCTTTCTTCTTTGCATAACAATTCCAATCCGGACCCAGTTAGGATGGTGTCACTGTTGTCCTTTTGCTCACACTAGCCAAAGGCAGTATCCCTCACTACATGCTGTATGGCTTTGGCAGCCTGTCCCACACTCTGTCCTGCAGCAACAAGGAGTGAACAGACAGCTGCAATGCAGGTCTGCAGAAAAATGAGAATCTCACACGATCAAAGTCAATCAAGCATGAAAGGAAGCTTGTTAGACTTGATTTATATGCCATATTTTGGAAAAAGTTAAAGTGTAGTTTTATTACAGCTAACTCAAGTATGAGAAAATTTAAATGTAAGCTGAAGTAATCTACGATGTTGTAGAAAGGTTACAGTGTGGATGCATCAATATGCATGATTCTAATTAGGCACATGCGAATTTGCTTTTTGTATGTGGATCGTATCATATGGGATTGCAACATTAATCCTAATTAACACCTACACTGAAACAGAGGACCATCACCTTAATCCATTAATCCATGTGATGTCCCACTTTTTTCCTTTTTCTTTTTTTTTTTTTTTGCGATGGGGATGTCCCACTTTTTCTATTTGCCATGCTTTTGTGTAATGATGTTGACATTGCCAATTGCCTTTTTCTTGTTTTCACCCCCTTTTTCTTTTAAGGGCAAGTTAAAAGTTTTTTGTTTTTTTTTTT